CAGCAGCAGCAGTGCTTGGAGCTCCCTCTTTCGAGCTAGTAGCAGCTGGGTGCATGGAGGCTGACGGATCTGCCGAGGGATTCGGAGGATCGGTCATAAGAATGTCAGGGCGTGGTAGTGGCTGGCTAAAGCTGTGGCTGTTGTTGTTGTTGTGATGGTGATTACTGTGGTGGTTGTGGTTGTGGTTGTGGTGGTTGTTGGTATTGTTGTTCTGGACTGCGCCTCCTACGGCTGACGACGTACCCTCGGGTCGCCTGTGCATGTTCACGTCAACGTCCGCGGTGCTCCCATCCAACCCCTGAAGGCTGCCTTCTTCAGCTCCGCTGGTGTGGCCTGAATCCGGAGACGAACAAGAGGAAGAATCCGCCCTGAGGGGAGCCTCCCTGGACTTATAGGCAATCTCGGGGTCATTGGGAGCTAGGGACCTCAGTATTAGCTCGTCGCTTAACGATGGCTTGGGTATCTTGCGACATCGTGGACGCTTACGGTCACGTCCAGTTCCAGACTTGTCGACCGGGCTGTTGCTCTCACTCTTGTCCGGAATGAAGGGAGGAGGCGACTCGTGCGGTTCGTAGACAATCTTCTGTTTCTCGAGAGGCGGAGAGAGGTTCCGGGCGTCGTCTGAATCGTAATTCATCATGTCATGGAGTCCAGGTTCGGCGACATATAGGGAGTAACCTCGGCGAAGTCTTCTTTTTTTTTTCTTGTTCCCTTCTTCCTTTACCCCCTTCTTCTTCTGCCTCTTTTAATTCAATTATATTGTTTTTTCCTCTCCTAGTTTTGGTATTCTGGGCTGAGCAGGTTAGCACTACACCGCTGAAGATGAGACCACAAGAGAAAAACGATGAGTGAGATGGTAAAGAGGGAGGAGAGGGAGAGCCCTTCCGGTGGACTTAAGGATCAGCAGACGGACCAGGGGGGGGACAGGAGAGAGTGGGATATCAATACAGTCTCAGGCCTCATACGATCCTAAGAGAAAAAAGAGACAAAACGTCCTGGGTGGGGATGCTGATGCTGATGGTGTTGGGGGGGTGGTAAGATGGGAGAGAGTTGGTGGGAGAGAAAGACCAGGGAAGCGAGAGGGAAGAGGAAGAGAGCAGAGAAGCGAGGGTGTCTTGAGGACGTAATAGTAACAAGGGAACCGGGCCTCCGAGCAGGGAACGTACAGACAGGATGAGAAGTCAGGCCATCATCGTATCACAGCATAATGCCAGTCCGGTAAGAGAGAAGACAGAAAAGAGGCAGAGGCAGCGAGAGAGGAGCCACGGCAAGAGGCAGAGAGGGAGGGGGGAAGACGGTGTGTCTGGAGAGAGACTCGACGGCCGACGGTTTGGCTGACGAGAGCAGAGAATGAATCGAACGAAGAGAAAGAAAGATGAGGCTGTGGTGTGGATCGGCGGCGGGAAGAAGAACGGAAACTCAGCCGGGAAAAGGCTAGCAGAGCCACAGGCGAAGAGCCGCAAGAGGCAAGGCAGAGGAGGACGAAGAATCGAGGCAGAAGAGGCGGGAGAGACAAGAAAGCATGCAGTTATTACGTACCAACAGTCGGAGACTCTTAGTCAGGAGACGTTACAGGATGGTAGAACAGCCAGCAGGTAGGCAGCAGCAGCCAGCAGAACGAAAGCCACCGGCAGGACAGGCAGAAGAACAAGGCCAGAGAAGGGGGAGAAGGGAAGAGAAAAAAAAAATGGGCGTGGCGGGTTCGGCAGCCGCATTCGCCTTGTATTATATAGTCCTTTTTTTCATACCTGCTTGTGCTTATATTTATTTCATGCGCCAGCCAACAAGAAAGGAGAAGAGAGTCAAGAGTCCTTCTAGCAAGAGGTCGCAAAAGTCAGAGAAGAGAGACCTTGCCCTATCCCTGACGTGAAACGGGAGAACCCAAGTCCTTGACTCTCCATTCGTTACATGTTTTGGTCTTCTCGGTGGAGATGAGACTTCTTCTTGCTCTTCTTCTTGCTCTTCTTTAACCAGACTTTTGCGGCTTTAACTGGGGCTTCACCTGGCTTAACTGGCTTCACCTGGCTTAACTGGATTCCTGGCTTCCTGGCTTAACTAGACTTTAGGGGCTGGCTTTAACCGGGACTCTCTCTTAGTTAAAGAAAAAGAGGAGGTCGCCCCCCAACCTAACCTTTCAACGCCTGAAGAAAAAGCCACAGGCAGAGCAAGACCGCCGGGGCTCGCCACTCCCGCCCAGCCACGGCCACCAGCCAGCGCACTCACTATTACTTAACTAGTGACAAGGCGATATTACATATGAGAGACATACTCCGGGACGCAAGACATCTGCTATTCTGCCCTGCCATGGGGCCCCGTTTTTTTACATAACTCAGGGTCGCCCAAGGTCTTACTTGGTTACTTACTATGTACCTAGGTACGTAAAATACTTAGGATGTAAGTATCAAGTGTTGGGCATCGGAACGGACACTTCCTTCAGAGACACGTGGCAGAGCATCCGCAGAGCCTATAGTACGAAGCAAGGGTTGTCCGATATTATATGTACAGGGTGTCCCGGCAGAGCCCAGCAGAGCCCAGCAGAGCCGTCCGGAAGGGAAGAAAAAGAAAAAGAACGGAGGAGAGAGAGAGGTCACAGTTTGCTGCTCTGTTTGAGCTGAAGCACCTTCTCCCATGCCTTCTGTGCGAGGGGGCTCATGAGACTCGCATACTCCTTTGCCCTCGCGCTGCTGGCCTGTCTGAGCGCATAGCGAGCCGCGATCCCTTGCATGATGATCGAGCCCCGGAAGGCATGGAACGCATCTCCCCATCCCAACTCCTTCGTAGGATCCCACCCGGCCACCTCCCCGTACCACCTCACGCACTCCTCCCTCGTCGGCAGTCCGTCCGTACACGCTGCATTGAACCTCGTCTCGGCCGGGCCGCCCTCGATGTTCGCATAGGGGCCCGTCAGGTTGCAGAGGTCAGACAGCGGGTGGCCGACGGTCGCCATCTCCCAGTCCAGCACCCCGATCACTCGTGCCTCCGTCCTGTGGAAGACCATGTTGTCGATCTTGTAGTCGCCGTGGACAAAGGTCGACCGGTCGACGGGCTGCTCGGCCTTGGTCGAGAAGAAGTTGGTCAGCTCGTCGAAGTGCGGCAGGTCGCCGACGGGCACGCCCGTGTCGACGTCGGCCGTCTGTGCCTGCGCTCGGTGGATGGACTTGAAGGTCGCGATCTGGCGGTCGTAGAAGCCGCCGGAGCGTCCGAACTTCTCCATTCCGATGGCTTTGGGGTCGACCCGGTGGAACTTGGCAAGCGTCTGCACCGCTGCCTTCCATCTATAATCATCCTTTTATATCAGCTTGCCCCCGTAGCAGTGAGTGGTTTGTTAGTTCATACGTACAGCTGTCGTCGCTCCTCCGGTCCAACTTCGGGCATCGACGGGTCTACGAATATCCTCCCGTCCAGGAACTCCATGATGTAGAACGGTGTCCCGATCACCGAGTCATCCTCGCAGAGGCAGATGGCTTTGGGCACGGGCACATCCGTCTGTTCGAGGGCATGTATGATCTGGTACTCTCGCTCCACCCGATGGGCGGTCTTTGACAGCAGCTTGCCCGGTGGTTTCTTGCGGAGCACATATTTCTGACCGTCCGCCGATATCAGCTGGTACGTTGGGTTCGATTGCCCGAATCCAAACTATCTCTGTGTTAATTATCTTCCTTCATCTTCTTCTTCTTCTATTACCACTACCTAGTACAGACTGCTTACCTGCTTAACCGTCAATGGCGTCTTGATGGAAGGGACGTGGGCGTCGATATAACGTTCAAAGGAAGGGATGTCAATCGGTTGTCGAACTTCACCCGCCATCCTGACTGACCGTACTATTTAAACTGCGTTATTCAACCGTCTCCTCTCTCTCTCTCGGAGCCCACCTTGTCCCTTCATATATTTCCCTCCAGGGCTTCATGCTCGGCAATTCACATTATTTTTCTCTTCTTGCTTTTCAACCTTCTTTTTGAGCCGAGGCTTCTTCTTGCTTAGATAATCTTATTAGTCATATATTAGTCATTATATCTTAGTCATCCGTTGTCGTGGTTATGAGTTGTCAGCGCTAAACCGAAAGAGGAAAAACGTTGTTGTCTTTGCGAGCTTCAAGTTTTTTGTATCAAAGTTGAACAAGAAGAAGAAACAGACAAGACAGACAGACGGGAAAAAGCCACTCGCCGGACTTTTGGCTTGCTGATCCATTGTTTATGTTATTTACCCATCATTATCTTTTTATTCTTGAGAAGTTATTTTACGCTTGACTCCATACTCCCACTCGGACAACAGGCACCACCACCACCCGACCTCGTCGACCCGGACGGACAACACACGACACTGCATCGATTGCCTATAGCTCGATCTATATACCCCGAAGTCCCAGGGTAGGAAGTGAATGGTCGTCTAAGTCGGAGCGAGGGATCTTGAAAGATCTCCTCCGCTGCCACCGACAACATCTATCTTGTCGCGAGAGAGGAAACCCTAGCCTGTTTTGCGCCAACCCGCCTCATACATAGCCACTTGCAGAGATATACAATGTCGAATTCAGGCTTGGGCCCCCCGGGGACGGGGACATATGCTTCCAATATTCTCAACGTCGGAGATGGGACATGGGATTCTCAGCGCAATACCTTCCTTCTGCCCAATCTGATGGGCCTCAACTTTGAGGCGATGCAGTATAACGGTGAGATAACATTGGCCCTGCCAGATGTCACTCCTTCATGTTTGCTATATGCTAACTCTTTACTAGGAATGGGAAATAGATTCCGAAACTTGCCCGGGTACCATTCTCTCATACGAGCACACGGAGTACTCGCCGCAATCACCTTCCTTGGCCTCGTGCCCATTTCTATCCTGCTCGCCCGGTTCTACTCGAGAAGCCCCTACTGGGCCCTGCGCCTGCATATATGGATGCAGATACTCACCCTTTTCTTGACCACTGTGGTGTTTACTCTCGGCTGGTTTGCGGTGGGGCCAAATAGAAGTCTAACTAACCCTCACCACGGAATTGGGCTGGCGATATATGTGATGGTGATTTTTCAGACGTTTTGGGGATGGTTCATACATAGTGGTATGAAGGGGAAGCGCTGGCCGCATCTTCCTCTCAAGTTAATGGTAAGCTTCTATATACATCCTTACGTACCCTATGTTACTAACACCCACCTATAGATCCATCATTGGCTCGGAAGATCCTTAGCTTTACTTGGTATCGCACAGATCCCACTTGGCTTAACTCTATACGGCTCTCCGCTTTCACTATTTATTCTTTTCGCGTTGGCTACATTCGCTTTGGTCCTTACTTATTTTATCCTCACCTATCTCCATGAACGACGCATTGGCGCAGGATATGGTCCCCGGGGAAACTATTCTGGCCCAGAAGTTATAGACGATGATCAAAATCATGGAAATTTCGGCCGTCTGGCGGCTGCGGGGGCTGCGGGTGCCGGATTGGCTATGCTAGGCAACCAGTTACGTGGTCGAAGAAGGAGTCGCAGCCGGAGCAGAAGCAGAAGCAGAAGCCGTAGTAGAAGCGACAGTCGAAGTAGATCCCGTGATTCGGCGAGGACGCCCTATATCAACGAAAAGGAATCCCACCATGGGGGTTGGGGGAAGAAGCTATTGGGATTTGGTGCACTTGCAGGGGCTCTAGGCTTGGGAAAGAAAGCCTATGATAGGCGCCATGACCGTGATGATTACACTGTCACCGATAGCTATGATGATTCTCTGAGTCGCGTGGAAGAAGGACGGCCGCCCCCTCCGCCATCACCCCGGCGCCACGGTCCTTACCACGGTGCCCCGAGTGAAGACCATACTGCCTACACTGAGACCGATTATTTCACGCAGACTGATGATTCTAGACACGGTGGCCATCCTGTACGCAATGCCCTTCTTGGAGCAGGCGCATTTGCTGCTGTGAAAAGTTTCTTCGGCCGAGGCAAGTCAAAAGAAGACCGTCGCGTCGAGCAGATAAGACAAGAAGACCTCGAAAATGAACGAATCGCCCGAGCCAACAGTAAAAGAAAACACCATGCAGACAGGCGCTATCCAAGACCGCATTCCCCAACCAGTGAGCTAACCTCTGAAGCTGTTGCTGGGCCATCAGGCACCACTGGACGTCCACCTCCACCAGCTGCCTCGTCAGTAGCTGATATACCACCTAGCCCCGGACGCAAACATCGAAGTCACCACAGATACCCATCCACACTCGGTGCAGGCACCGCTGTCGCGGCAGCTGAAACCGCCGGGTCAGGTCACAGAAGGCGGAGTGGAAACCGTGAAGATCCATATGACTCTCCCCAGGTTGCTATAACGGTCAAACCCGAAGGCCGCCATGTGACATTGCGACAGCTCACGAAGGAAGAAAAACGAGCAGAGCGTGAAGCTCGTCGTCGTGATCACCGACGTCAAGGGCGGGAAGGTTCTTTCTCGGACGATGATCACTGGCGCCGCGTCGAAGAACGTGAACGACAACAAGCACAGGAGGGTTCTCATGCACCCTCGCATTCGCAAGTACCGTCACAAGCACCGGCACCAGTACCAGCAGCTCACTCGCAAGTGCCGTCTCACCTGCAGGTGCCAGGATCACGGATTGATCCGCCGCAGTCTCCTGTATCTCAGCCAGTAGCTCCTCCGCCTGCTGGTTCTGCCGCCGCTCCGTCATCAATACCCGCTCCACCACCTCCGTTACCCATAAGTCACGCCGGACTTAATTCACCAGGTACGGTAAGCACGGAATTGAGCGGTAGCTATGCCAGTAGAAGTGGCAGACGGCGCGCAGAACGACGCATTGCCAGAAGCCAGCGCCAACAAAGCGTCGATTGGACATAAAAAAAAGATACCCCAAATTAACATTGAAGGATATAATAACGCCTTTCTTTCTGTATCCATGTACATGTTTTCTTACCTTGAGGATTGAATCTGGGAGATATTGGCGATTTATATTTTTCCTGCTATAGTGTTCTCTCTTCTTTAGCTCCTGATGTCCGCTTCTTGAAGATGATTGATGGTATATGTTTTTCCTTTGTTTTGGCAGTGCGGCACTTTGCTTTATTTCCCAATGTTATGTATAGTCATCCTATCTCTGAGAGGGGGATTAAATCTCATAGATGGCTCTCCGACTTCGATGTCATTTCAGCGGTTCAGAGATGGATGAATGTTATGTGTATTATTTTACTTTTTGAACGAAACATCTGTGTTCACAGAATAATGACTTATCTAAGGTGGGAAATAAAGATAGTAACTTCTCTATCGTTCAATGAAATGACTCATAAAAATTTATACAAAAGTTCTTGGGTTAGAGAAAACACTACTGTTTATTATTCTACAGATTCAACAGTTGAGAGAAACGGGCTTTCGTCAAGGATGAAAGGATATATACATCCTACAACTCTATCATTTCAAAGAAGCTTGGAGGCTCTCGAGGACCTAAACATAAATAAGATGATAACATATTAGCATGTGCTGTGCATAGGAGAGATATTTCCATGTTGTACACGTACCTCCACCTGGATCTTGGCCTCAGCGACTTCCTTCTCGCTTCCAGTACCGGAGGCAAGTCTCTGGGCCTCAGCAAGCTGAGATTTAACAGCCTGTATCATCGGTATTCATTAGCTTGTATTTTATACTCTCCTTCCTACCCACAAAGAAGCAGAATAGAAACTCTATGTGGACGAGAAAAACTTACGTCGGCGCTGAAGTCTTCAAGAGCGAAACCCTCAACGGCGTTGATGTTGAGGTTGGAGTCTGGCTGCATAACGGCAAATCCGCCAGCAACTAAATAAAAGAGTCATGTTAGTATAATTTTGCTCAGTAGAAAATTGTTATGCCAAGGATTCCTCCGGCTTGATGTCGTTGGTAGTAAAAATCAAGAGTGAAAATTGGAAAGAGCGTATCATACGGAAGAACTTCTTGGTTTGTCCGCCCTCCTCGATGATCTCGATGAGACCGGGTCTCAACTGTTCGATGCTGGGAACGTGGCTGGAGAGGATACCCATGTCACCAGACTCGGCGGCAATGTTGACTTGAACGCTAGATATGTGAAATAACTCGATTAATTAACGTTTCCCTTCCATAATTTCATTTTATAGGTGGAAAATGGGGAATATAGCTATTGATGGTCCGATTCTTTGACGGATTTAGGAATTTTCAAACGTACACATCGGCGGACTTGTAGATGGTCTGTTCGAATCAATTCGTTAGTTTATCGAGTTCCAGCATCATTTATGCACTTATACACCAACGTAACGCCCTGAAAAGCAGTAATGAAGGATACAAAAGGCTCCGGTAACGCACCTCCTTGGGCAAGACGAGAGAAAGCTTTAGCTTGTCTGCAACAGCCGTGGCGTAGGTCCTCTGCGATAGAGGGGTGCGGAGAGCGGTGGCACCGGCTCTGAAGGCAGGTCTGGCGAAGCGGAGAGAGAACATGGCTGCAATTGGCCTTGATATGGACGTCCGGTGGGATGTTGAAGATCGTGCTGGCGAGAGATGTTGCGATGCTTGAAGTCGCTGGACTTTCGGGACGTCTCGGAGCTAAGCCATTTTGGGAGACGATACAGTCACGTGAACATAAATGGTTGCTGTTTTAGCCGTTTTTCCACTATGATACAAGCACTTTTCAAACCATTAGACATAGTTATGAGAAAACTTCAGTATATTACACTAAGAATGATTTAGCTATAATCGTTTTTACTATCTAGTCACTATAAAATGCCTTGCTAACGATAAAAATTGGTGTGCTAGAGATTTTGATAGAAGAAAGTCGTGAAATTGTATCCTAATCCGGACTAGTGCCATCGATCCAACGTAAGCGAGCTCATCCACACAAACAGTTTGAAGGTCGCAGGTTTTCTCAAAAGTTCATCCTGACAACGACGACATTCTTACCTCAACCGTTCAAGTTGCCGCCATACCGTCAAGATGGCCAGTACGTTTGCCTCTCTATCCAGGCTGCAGTTCTTCGGGAAATATACCTCCTGAGCTGTTTCGTGAAGCAGATATCGAAGGCCGATCGCTAACAACTTATCTCGCAATTAACAGAATCCAAGAACTCGTCGCAACACAACCAGAACAAGAAGGCCCACAGGAACGGGTACGTCGATACTTAATCCCTATCCTAAAGCGAGTTTATACCATTTGCGACGTGATATGGTTGAAAAACTACTGCAACATGCATTATTCATATCGGCAATCGCTTGGGCATATTAAAGAGAGAATAGGCCAGGACACAGCTGACAACAAGCGACTTTGGGTAATACAGTATTAAGAAGCCGAAGACTCACCGTTACCCATCCCTCAAGGGCACAGACCCCAAGTTCAGAAGAAATCACAGACATGCTCTTCACGGAACCATGAAGGCATTGGTACGGATATATCTCAACCTTCTTCAGTCGAGCTTAAGGCTAATATCATTTTATAGAAAGAGGTTAAGGAGGGCAAGCGGGACTCTGCATAAATGGGACATGCATAACATCGGCTTTTAACAAAAAGAACGGGGATTGTTTTTTGACTCCCACCGTACTATCTATCCGTCATGTGTCGATAGAACTCTTTTCTACCTCCTTCTTTTACAAGGGTAATCAGATGGAGATGTAATGAAAACAAAGAAACGCCCAAATTTCAAAAAACAAAAATACCTCCCTCGCAATTTTGCATTTCACACCATCTTCCACGGCTACTGCATTGGAACACCAAATAAACTCGGTAACTCACCAATGATGAACGAGGAAGGTAGGCTTGTTTTCTTTGCAAAGTCTTCATTCCCATGTGTAACTCCAGGTCCAGGCATATGTGTGTACAGCAGCGGAGTCGATTATGTATCCGATTGCTGAAGGATTTATTCTTACGTGCCAAGATTAAACCGCCGTCTAATTACCAAACACCCTGTCTACCTTCCCCATGGTGCAGAGGTGCATGGAACGATGGCTATATATTGCCCATCAAATGATGCTTCTTGATTCTATATCTTGGTTTGAATCATCGTAAACTGGAAGTATAGTTCAACCATTAAATTATCTGCCATTAGGTATCATCATTCATAACTAGATCAAATTCAATCCAGATCAATGCAAATCAAATTTTCCAAGCCAAAGACGCCATTGCTAGATTATATATTAATTATTATTTAAAAAAAGAAAAACACAATTCCACCTCCCCTTCACTGCAACTAGTTGGAAAACCTGCTTCCCTTCCAAGAGTGTCCAGCAAAGGGGCCCAAAGACGTGATTGAGTTTCAATCAACCAAACATGTCTTCAGCGCGCCTTCTCCTCCCACCTCTCCCCTCAAGGGTATCCGAAAACAACTCTTTCCCTTCGTTGCCAGTATATTTCGAAGGGAAGAGTTCCCTAACAGATGCCGCACCCTTGATTGAGATCCCACCAGAAGCGTTGCCTCGAATTGACATTCCATTGTTCTCTGAAGACATACCCCGGATATTCAAACTCGGGGAAGGCCCCTTTGAATCTGGAAATAGCTCCACGCTACGGCTATTAGGGCGTTGGGGTCCATCACTGGCACCATCCATAAAGGGAACCGACATTCGCCGAGCAAATAAATCAGTTGTTTCGTCCGCGGCGTCGAAAGCATCAGATCGGCGATGGATTGTGTTGACTTGCGGTGGTACAGTATTCATTAGTAGCTCCTGTTTCAGGTAGCTTGAACCAGTCTTGTTGGGGAAAAGCTCTCTCCCTCTCGAGGTGTCATCGCCCGAATTGTTTCCAGAAGGATAAAGCTCTTTCCCGGCATTAGAGCGTGACCTATCCCTACTGTCACGATTTGAAAGGGTGGGCCGATCGCGGAAGCGCCTGCTAGTCGATGGGCCGCCGGCAAGCCGAAGATCCGGGCCGTCCCCGTTGGTTCCAGAAGGCGATGCACTGCGGTTCCTAAGACGTCCTTCTGACATTTCCACATGATCATCAAAAAGATCGCGTTTGTTTCTTCTCACTCGGCTCCGGCTATGTGACTCAACACTCGAGATGTCACCACTAGAACCACGTCGTCCACGATCGCCATCGTCATCGTACATGCTGACATCAAACCTATCTTCTTTCGCCTGTCCCCTGCGTCGGCGATGCTCTCTATCGTCAAACCGTTTTCTCCGATACTCTCCATCACCATCACCTCTGGGCCCACGGTATCGTCTTCCCGAAAATTCGTTCCGTACTCGTTCTCGAGGGTCATGTTCCGGATGCATTAAATAAAAGCGACTTGCCTCGTATGCACGGTGCTTCTTTCGATCCGACTTTACGGCCAACCGAACTTGTAGGACAGAGTCAGGATGTGAGGATAATGCCTTGGCCGTTCGAAGCCTAAGGGAGGGCGAGGTAGGTACTGCATCCTCGACATTCTCCTGGGTAAATAGTGATAAAGCTTTTGCAGCCATCTCCGCAGAACTATATATAATATTTGCGGAGGTATCATCAATCCACTCAATACGCTGAGGCTCTTCCAATGTAAAATATTCAGAGGCAAAGCGTTTAATATCATCCGTAGTCAGCTCATCAACCCCCCGAATGTGAACTTTTTCAAGTTGTAGTTCGTCATTGGGGTTTGTTGCTTCTGCCTCACTTTGCCCTGCGATTGCAGATGCTACCGTCAAAGCAGACACAGGTTCCTGATAAATAGAATGTATTAGCACAGGCCCCTGCTTATGAAGAAAATCTCAAATCTTTCACTAACCAGCTCAATCGGATCAGGTTCAGGAAGCTGCCCGAGATCCAAATCCATGTCGATATCCATGCTGGTATCCATTGCGCTACCGTTCGCCGCAGCCGGAGCTGTACCTTCACCCGCGGCACTACTCTCCATAGTGGCACCAGAGGGGTTAAATTATTCGAGATTTGAACCAGTGAAAGGGGAAATATGCGTTCGTTGCGCAACGTAGAAGTGAGTAGCAGCGAGGGTAAAAAGAGTCGGCAGTGTCAGTAGTAATATCTTCCTCCCGTAGTTTTCCCTCTTTATCAAAGAAAGCTGCGCAGCTTTGCAGAGGGAGGTTGCCGCCTACTGTAAAGGGCTTAGCGTGAAGAACTCAATTGCTTAGTCACCATATCTCACTTTCGGCTTTTCTTACTTTGAAGAACTGAAAAAAACTAACAAAACATGGAGTGAGAAACTGGCGAAGCTATTGGGTTGGATACCTTCACTTCAACCTATGTACTGTCTTGAGTGGGTAGAGCTCAGCTGGCTATAACCAACCCTTGTAGGTATGAGGTGAAGTTCCGTGGACTTGGACTGCCGGATGCCGTATCATTGTTCCCACGCTCAACACCGTATGGAGCACTCTAAACATAAAACAATGTTATTCTATAATTTTTATAGCCTCACTTTAATTAACCTAGTAAGGTTAATGATTGGTGTCGCAACCAATTAATATTACAGCCCTATTTCTAAACATAAATGTACAATGCGATTATTTATTGGCCGATTCGAGTAACTATTGACCAATAGAAATTACACAAAATCTCCAAGTCTTCGATCATCCCAAACATTATACGTTCTATCTAGTTTTCGAGTTATCTTTTCCGTTGAACCTTTCCTCACATACATAGTAGTACGTTCACTGTCTGTGAATCCAGCTCTTACCCCAAATTATAATCACATGACTGTAACTATGATGAATAAGCAATCCGGGGAATAGCCCAAACTTACCAACTTCATCTCCTTGTTATGTACGTCTCGCACACCCAAAGGTTCCCATTGGACATTGTTCCCTTGTGGTCCAGCGGTTCTGATATTTAACCAAGGCTACCAACCATCCTTGACAACGTACATACCATCCCCCTCATTACCATCCGCAGTCCGTCCGTGAACTGCTAGGCAAGAGAGCCGCATCCTGTTCTCCTCGGGCAAAATATATCCATATATCTGCCTAAACTCAGAGTTCACAAGTACCGTCCTAATGGGTTGGTGAGACTAGAAGCAGACAGCCTCAATGGGTCTACAGCTGCTGGATCATATTTATCGATGAGTGTTCAATACACGACTTGACTCGAAACTCCGAGGAGATGTCGGCTACATTAATACTGTGCAGCACAAGTTACACTGAAATGTAGATCTATCACTTTTCTCACATTCCAACCCCTGAGAGTTCAACAAGCCCTGCTGTGCCTATTGGGCCACTTCGCGAGGGGGTCGGTCGATGAGGAATCAATTCGCGTGTCAGGTCAGGCAGAATTCATTGCTGATGGCTTCCAAAGCTACATAGTATGGTCGGTAGACAGCCAGGTGCACGTTCCCCAAGATGATACCACCTTCCAGCCACCTAGTTCAAGTGAGCTAGCCATCAGGCGATCAATTTATGGGTTGAACGGCATGTTTTGACCTCGTTTACCCCCTCATCATGGCCTCATATTTAAGCAAAGGGTGCCTAAGGCGGTAGTTAGGCCTTGCTCTGAAGATTACAGCCATATTAAGCTGGGGATATAAGGCTATGCCTCCCCCATGGTGCATTTGTTTATGTTCTCCATCCGTTAGAACTCTGAAAGAAGGAAGGTAGGCAACAAAAATCTATAAACAATGGTTCCTGTGAATTTATCTCTTAGGGTATCCCCAGGGGGAGTATTCACGAAGGCTAAATGGGCCACTAGGCCTGCAGCCAGATACTCCTCCTTCACGCCGAAAAGGCCTGTTTTGCCGCCGCTGCGGAGGGTATCAACACACGCATCAAATACCACCCTCCGCGAGGCAAACAATGCTCCAATTGCAATTGTCATAGGAGCCGTCACGTCTGTCGCTGTTGGTGCCATCTTCATTGCGAGGAATAGAAAAGAGAAGGCAGAGCACTTCATTACCTTGAAATCAAACACTGGGGTTGATCTGTTCACCGAGACTTCAGCTGATTATTCTAAACTTCCCAAAGAGACCGCAGTTTTCACGACTGCACCGCATGTCCCTCCACCGATTACCCGAGATTACCCCGTGCTTCTTCAGGTACTATTAACCACTAAAACGAAAACAGCCCAGCTGTCCAGCCAGCATAAATATGAGCAATGGACCTTTAATGGCACCGTACCCGGGCCATTCATACGGGCACGAGTAGGTGACGTGGTGGAGTTAACGCTGACCAACCACGACGTGACGGGAAACCCGCACAATGTCGACTGTCATGCATTCACAGGGCCAGGGGGAGGTGCAGCGCTTACCACAGCCGAGGAAAATGAGAGCAAGACAGGATTATTTAAATTGTTGCATCCTGGGCTCTATGTGTATCACTGCGCTGCGGCCCCAGTACCGGTACACATTGCTAACGGTATGTATGGGCTCATTTATGTACAGCCGGAAGATGGCGGCCTGCCCCCGGTCGATCGAGAGTACTACGTGATGCAGAGCGAGTTCTACCATGAACCACCAGAGGTATTGGAGAACGGTAAACGCTCCTCGACGGTGGAGTTCTCGTACCCTAATGCCCTGGAAGAGAACCCAAGCCTTGTTGTTTTCAACGGAAGCGAGTCTGCATTGACTCGAGATCAACCTTTGAAGGCGCAGGTTGGTGAGACAGTGCGTATATTCTTCGGGAACGCGGGGCCAAACTTGACCAGTGCCTTTCATGTCATCGGCAGTAACTTTTCAAAGCTGTACCGTGACGGGGACGTGGTGAGCCCGCCCGCAAACTGGGTGTCTACCACCAGTGTTCCCCCAGGCGGTTCGACCATCGTGGACATGAAACTGGCTGTTCCTGGAACCTACACCATCGTGGACCATGCAATCTTCCGCTTGGACAAAGGCGCCGTTGGCTACTTGAACGTTTCGGGGAAGCAACGGCCGGATGTTTACCAAAGCACCCTCCCACCTGCCCCGTGTGTTGGGTGCAAGCTACACCCTTGAATCTTGCTTTACAGAGCGATCTATCTCCTTCTTAGGCATGGTGTCACGTCTGGCCAAATGCCGTTATAACGATGTTTTTGATGTCGATTTTTCAGCGCCCTTCTCTTCCGCTTGCCGTACTATTTTTGAGGCTCCCTGTGTACTTAGTCCATCCTTCAGGAACAAGCCGCAACATTACTAACTATGACTCCCCTTCCACGTCATCCTGATCGTGTCCAGACGTTTACTTTTCTTCGCGTCTTCTACTTTGCGGCTTGTAATAATGACTCATCGAGTGGACCAGTTGTTATCTTTATACTCAAACAAGTATTATTTCTGTAACAGCATTTGCATATCCTCCAGCTGAATCCCCAACCTCCTCTGCCGCTAATTGGGTGACTCGACGGAGCGTGCAACGTTTGCCCAGTCTCGCTCGTTTTGTGTTTGCTCAACGGAGAACAATTCGGGCGTTCCGGTTGAAAACTCACTTGTCCATCCTTGATAAGGTCGTGATATTTTGTTAGTATCACAAGGAGCAAAAACCATAGATGTACAAAGCATTAGCTATTGCTGTGTCTTTTCCAATATCCTCAGCTTCTCTGACGAATTTTTTCTTCTTCGTCGATCCTGCCAGCCGCCCTTGAGGCTTTTGCTTCTTTTCTTTTTTCTTCATCCTTCAGCTCCTTTTTTTTTTTTTTTTCTTTAGCTTGGAGTCAGTGTCGTCATCGGAAGCTATAACTAATCGCTGTCTTTCTCTTACTACAGCAATCAATTAAACAATCATCATCATCATCTTCTTCTCTCTCTCTCCCATGATCAAAACAGCTTGATCAAGGGAAACGGTTGCTCACGATGTCGCCGGACATTGACCCCGTCGCTGTGGGCGTCGGAAGCGTTGCAGCTGTTTTGATCCTTCTAGCTGCTTTACCGGCTTGTAACAGCATCATCCAGAAGCTTGCCCATGGACCATACATGAGCCTGCAATCACTGCCTGAAGATGAGGATGGAGAGGCAACAGAAGAATCAATCTCGGCATATTCAACTACTACCCAGACTGCTGTTATCTACGTGGCTTCTTTCGTCGGTTGGGTCGCGTCCATCATTAGGGCTGTCTTGTCAACAACGCAGAACTCAATGTGCTATGGAGCAATTGAAAGCTGGTTTCAGTTCGGGACTTTTGTACGATTATTCTCCCCTCGATGACCCATTGCTCAAGTATACATCTACCGCTGATGTTGCTACAGCTAAAGAGTGAAAAACGTTAAGCCTTTTAACATGTCTCATCCGCTTACTCGTCCTTTTAGGTATTGCTTCTACCGCATGCAATGGCACTTTCGTTCAAGCAGGAATATGCGAGTCAATTCCGACTAGCTAGCTATGCATCCATTGCTTCGGTAGTTCAATTCGTCATGTCGGCCTACATGGGCGTACGCCTCCTGACACCGGCTCACTATGCCAACCTGACAGGCTTTCAATTAGCCATATGGATTATTCCGTTGGCGGCTACTGCCTGTCTGCTTGGTGCTTATCTCTGCCTACCGAGACGCCCGGATGTCTTCGTCAAAGACAAGGTAGTTGATCGACAGTACACAGTGTCTGCTCTCTCGCGATTCACTTTTGCCTGGCCGGGCCATCTGATAAAGTACATCATCAAGAATCCCAACCTCGAGATTAACGAATTGCCTCGCATGGATCACTATACGCGTTCGGAGAATCTCTTGGTTAGATTCTCGGAGCAATGTCAACCTCAGGCGCTCTGGAGGCAGATTTTCAACTTGCATTTCATCACCTTCTGTAAACACTGGTTTCTGACGGCGGCTGAAGCCGTTCTCAACTTTGTGCCGAAAGTGTCCATGTACTTCATCCTTCATACCCTTGAGCGGAAGCAGGCTGGTGAAAACATTGGGCTTGATAACTGGGTCTGGACGCTGGTACTGGCTGCTGGTTTGATTCTATCATGCTGGACAGGTGCCTGGATGCGCTGGGTTGGCGATTCTCAACTTGCGCTTCGCATAGAAGCCCAGATGTGTGCAGCAGTATTTGCTAAAGCAATGCGCAAAAAAGATGCCCGAGGCGCGGAAAAAGCAATGATGGAAGAAGATGAGGAACAAGACGAGGGTGAAAATGACGATTCTCAGCACCCGTCGGCTCAAAAAGAGCGTGACGGGGTAGATGCAGAGCAAAAGCGTACTCAACAGTGGATTATCAACCTCATGGGTATTGATGCGTAAGTCCTGAGCTTCCTTTTGTGCAGTTTTTCTATATGACTGAGGCGTGCTAACAAGCATAGTGAGGAGGTTGGTGCATCGGCCGCTTTTCTAAGCACCGTTATTCTCTCTACGTGCACGTTTATCCTTTCTCTAGCGGTTCTCTTTAAACTTATCAAGTGAGTAAGAGATATCCGAATTCACAGTTTCTAGGCTAACAATCTGCAGGTGGAGGAGCTTGCTGGCTTCACTGCTCATATTTTTGATATTGGCTCCATTAAATGCCTGGCTATCAAAGGCGTATTCCCGGACGCAGGTGTGTATTATATGACGCTGGGAAGACACCACTGGTAGCAGTCGGCAAGCTGACATAGGTACCAGGATCGGCTCATGTCAGCGCGTGATATTAAAACGGGCGTCATATCAGAGGCACTGCATGGTCTTCGCCAAATAAAATTCGCCGCCTTAGAGACTGAATGGCAGAATAGAATCATGAGTGTACGGTTGAATGAGATGAATCAAGTATGGAAATCATGTTTATATGGTAAGAATTGGGCGTCCACTACTCAAAATTTGGGCTATTTACTAATATTCTTCGCCAAATCATAGATGTCGGCATGATTTTTTGCTGGGGTGCAGTCCCAACGATGATGACGACAGCGGCATTAGCCGTTTATGCCATCTTCGAAGGAAGGCTTACAGCCTCCGTCGCATTTGCATCCCTCGAAGTTTTCTTTGAGCTCGAGGATTCCCTTTCAATGATACCAATAGTTGTCACAGGCATAATCGAGGGAATGGTAAGTCTAAGGCGTCTTGAAAACTATCTCAATTCTCCAGATAAAGAGGAATACCGCAAAGCCTCTCCCTCCATTACCTATACAAATGCATCCATTTCCTGGCCCTCAGACACCAAAGACCTGGAAGATCGATTCGTCCTGAAGAATATTAACCTCACTTTCCCTGACAAAGCACTGAGCTTGGTTTGCGGTCCTACCGGATCGGGCAAAAGTTTGCTTCTAGGCTCTATCTTTGGAGAAGCTGATCTAGTGTCTGGCAATATCTGCGTACCGATGCTCCCCCATACGGTTTACAATACCCCTGACAGTGATATAAACCCTGAAAACTGGATCATCCCGTCTTCGGTGGCCTTTGTAGCGCAGTCACCGTGGATTGAGAATGGAACTTTAAGAGATAATATCGTCTTCGGATACCCCTTCAGCGCTGAGCGGTATAAGAAGGTCCTTGATGTGTGTGCACTAAGTGATGACCTCCATATCCTGGTTGACGGTGATATGACTGAAATTGGCCCTCGTGGTATAAACTTGAGTGGTGGCCAGAGATGGAGAGTGTCTCTGGCTAGAGCTCTATACTCTAGAGCTGGTATCCTAGTTTTGGTATGTGCTGTCAGGCTCCTGATACACTTAGATAGTTTATCAACTAACGCAGTGACTAGGATGATATCTTCAGTGCAGTCGATGTCCATGTCGGCCGCCACATTTTTGAAAAGGCTCTTACAGGAGACCTCGGCCAGGGCCGGACACGTATTTTAGCAACGCATCATGTTTCCCTATGCCTGCCTAAAACGAGCTATATGGTTGTTCTTGAAGATGGTGCAATGGCACAAGCTAGTCACCCTGACGAGATAGGCGACACAGGTTCACTTACAAAAATCCGGAGCGCTGCAGCCGCAGTTGCAGCATCAAACCCTCCGCCCGTAAGCTTCCGTAGAAGAAGCAGCTCGATTCGGGACAATATGGGCAGTCATTCAAGTATGGCCTGGGCATCAAGAAAAGACTCCAATAGAGAGAAGCCAACGGCTACCTTTGTACAGCCAGAGGAGCGCGAGATAGGCCGTGTCAAGTGGGAAGTTTACAAAGAATATTTGAAGAGCAGCGGAGGGGCGGTGTTTTGGGTAGCTGTCGCCATTTGTCTATGCAGCTCTCAAGCACTTGGTTTGGGGAGGGTATGTTATATTCCAATTATGATCCTGGGGCCGTTACTGACTTGATATCTACCTATAGTCCTGGTGGTTGAAAATCTGGACAGGAAACTCAAAAGCGAAAACATACAGTGATACCTACCTCAGCCAAACCATTGTATCAACAGATAAAGCAGCGGATGATGCACTTTGGTTCTATTTGGGAATCTACTTTGCCTTAGCCATGAGCAGGACGTTAATTAAATCGTTCAGCCATCTTTTTATATGGACTGGAACTATACGAGCATCGAAAGCTCTCTTTGAGAAGATGACATCACGAGTCCTTCGAACGCCATTGAGATGGGTGGACACTGTGCCTGTTGGTAGAGTTATCAATAGGTTCACCCTCGACTTCGCAACCTTTGATTCGAAACTTGGAGACGACCTTGCCTACTTGTTCCTGGACGTTCTAGATCTGTTATCTATCCTTGTAGCTGCGTAAGTTATATCCCTCACTCTATGCCATGATACCTCTAACCGGATGATAACAGGGTGCTTGTCTCTTCATACATCCTCCTGCTGACAATAGTCCTTTCCGGGGTATGTGCACACTTTGCAATTCGATACATGATAACCGCGCGAGAACTCCGACGCATCAAGTCCCAGGCTAGATCTCCCATCATTGAGCAATTTGGCACATCGCTGCAAGGTATCGGCACGATCAGGGCATTCAACAAGGCCGAGACCTACATGGACAAGATGTACCGAAATATCGACGACCATACATCCGCACATTACTATATCATCCTGTTCAATGAGTGGATGGCATTTAGAACGGGAATGGCAGATGCATTGTTTGGGGCATGTCTAACGTTTATCCTTATGTCGATGAAAGATATCGAACCTTCTCTTGTCGGCTTTGCCCTTAATTTCATGCTTGACGGAGCTCAGTTGATCGGGTCTGCAATTGACAAGTATACAGAGACACAGCTGGACATGAACTCGACGGAGCGTATTATCGAGTATTCGAAGGTTGTCACTGAAGACCACACCGGTGAAGAAGTCTCGGCAGCCTGGCCAAGCAAAGGCCGAATCGAAGTCGATAGTATCACTGCTTCTTACTCGCCAGAACTCCCTCCGGTTCTCAACGGGCTTACGTTTGGTGTCGAGCCAAACCACCGCGTCGGAATTGTTGGGCGTACAGGCTCAGGAAAGTCGACTCTCACATTGGCATTGTTCAGATTACTCGGGCTGCGGAGCGGCTCCATCTACATTGACGGCGTCGACATTTCAACCATAAAATTACACGACCTGAGAAGTCGGTTGTCAATCATCCCACAAGATCCAGTTTTATTCTCCGGCACGATACGGTCAAACCTGGACCCTTTCAATGAATACACTGACGAGCAGCTACAGACAGCACTGAGCCGGGTCCATTTCCAGTTATTTAAGGGGGACACAGACGAGGAGAGCAGTGAAGAAGAAGACGCGGAGGAGGGTGGTGCGGACTCTGGCTCTGACCGAGCCAGGACGCCCAGCCTCGACTATGCCATTAGCGAGGGTGGGCTTAGTCTCTCGCAGGGCCAACGGCAGCTCCTCTGCCTGGCCAGGGCCATTGTCGCGCGGCCCAAGGTCATGGTTCTCGACGAAGCAACGTCTGCCGTCGATATGAAGACTGACGCTTTGATCCAGCGTAGCATACGGGAAGAGTTCCAAGACTCTACACTGCTGGTTGTCGCCCACCGTCTGAGCACGGTAGCAGACTTCGACCGTATACTCGTCATGAAGGATGGCGAAGCAGTCGAATACGACTCGCCCAGGGCGCTGATGAAGGCTCAAGGGGTGTTTTGGCGCATGGTCCAGGGAAGTGGAGAACGAAAAGAGCTGGAGGCGCTCCTCGAGCCCAAGTAGAGAGATGTCCATCCATTTCTCGTTCGTTCCCTTTGCCCTCTTTCTCTCTCTCTCTATCTTTCGTGGGGGAAGCCATCTTCTTCCCCCCCAGTCATGGATTTGTGAGGATTATGTTACCATTTGTAATAGAATAGTGGATAATAAGGATGCACTTTTGAGTCGTGAATATTTCTCTTCTGACCAGCCACGGGCGCATAGTATAAAACCTTCTATACCTAGCATATTATAAGAAGAAAAGAAAAAAAAAAACAAGACGCAAAAACCTCACTTGCCTCTTCGAGCATAGACTTGGATGTTCTCCCTTGCTCGGAGCGTTCTTCCGACATGGCATACTGGATGTAATATCCTGACCTTCGTCTTGTCCCTGCTAACAACGATGCCCATAATAAGTCTGCATAAACAGGCATATCCCGGCTGCAAGAGCTCCCTAGCCCCATCTCGGGCCGCTGGGAAGGAAAATCCCTTGGGCAAGGTTATAGTCGAGCTTATATGTACCAAGCAGAGAGGGCATGGGAAGGACAAGAAGAACTAAACAACGCTCTCTGCAATAGTATCCAACTCCAGCTTAGTTCAACCGTTGCATCCTTTCCCCAGATCCCCGTAGGGTCCTAGTTAGTAGGTCTCGCTATTTGTCCTGGCTGTTTTTCTTTTTTCTGCGTCCTTCATCTTAACACGAAAGCTCAAGGTCAAGACCGTCCGTCCAATTATACAAGGCAGTTAGCTGTAAGCTCCCCGAAGCTCAATCAAACGGAGTCTCCGTCCACATAGACGGCGAATGGAGAATCTAACGAGCGGTCCCTCGATGGGAACAAGTTCTATTGGGCATCCATAGTCGAGAATGCCGAACGGTGGGCTGGCAAACTGATATACATATGCACCAAAAACGGCAAACGCCTTACCTGACAAGGGGAGAGAACTAGGGGAAAAGAAAAGAAACCTGACTTTGCCTTCAATGGTGAGTTATTATTATCATTTAGTTCTTTTGCAACTTCTACGCCTCCCATGGTCTTCGCCTTGCGCCCACAACATCCACGCCCACGTTCTTTCGCGATCTTGACAGGAGGCGTGGACGCCGCAGATGCGATGGGATGCGATCTCCTTCTCCGCGCCTTAAATATATATATACATCAGAAGCATTTTTGCAGGATGCAGGCCGTGTTTCTTTTTCTTTCCCCCCTTTGCTGCACCGTTGCCGAGCATATGATATGTCGTATTCTACCGTATACACTGGGATAACCGTTGAGAATATAGGGAGCCTGAGGAAGAAAACCGATGAAATACCAAAATGAAAAAAAAAGAAAAACACCTGCTCGTCAGGACAGTTACAGATATCAAAAAAAAAAAAAAAAACAACAGGGAAAAAGCAAAAAAGGGGGTTTGCACACGTTCCGTTCGAATATATTATCATTTCTTACGGTGACAAATTGTCCAGGCCGGAAAGAAACGAAAAGAAGAAAAGAAAAAGGAAAAGAAAAGAGCGCGGTGCGCCTACATGAATACATCTAGTGTTTATGTATATACTTCTTCCGCAAGGTCTCATAGTCGGTCAGGCCAGACTACGTCTGTCAAGGGTGCATAGTGCATCATCCCATCATCCCACGGGAAACGCAAAGCAAACGGGTGGGGATGGGAGGATCAAGCGTTCGCTTTATGGATCATCCGCCTTCTCGCCGTCTCGTCTGGTCTTGCTTCACGTTGATGTTGCGTTCGAACTCCCTGGCGACTGTGCGCAGTTTTTTTTTTTTTTTTCGTTGGTTTCTTCTTCCTCCTGGCTGTGGCAAAGTCCCTGCCCAGTCGGCTATAACTGATCCTCTTTTCTCTATCCAAGGCTAACATATATGGTTGCAGGAAACGCCGACGGAAAAACGGGGCCATGATGAAAGGCAGCCATGCTACTGTGACTTCGGCTACTGCTGTTTCCAGCTACTTGAGAGGTACCTTACGTTGTCCCTACTTTATAGGGATAACTCCCCCGCAAGGGACCAGGCCACTAGTATTAGGGGCGGGAAGGGAAGGGAAAAAAAAGCACTGGGCACCCCAAAACTAGCTATTTCAGCGGACCAAGGGATGTACTCTAATAGTACCAAGGACCCCCAAAGCTCGGTGTACATTCCTGTTACCGGTCATGCCGACGGTGTGGTGGTACAAAATTCCCAGGCCCAAATTAGCGGCCGAGAGGAAGTCACGCCCGCCGCAGGCTGCTTTGCGGTTAATACGTGCATGCGGGCTGTACTGCTGGCGTATACGTGCTTGCATGCTACCAAAGAAAGATGGGCAAGGCGCTTCGCGAGTTCGCGATACCCACTAGCTATTCGCTCTATAGTATGTATATGTGCATACCCGAACGGGGAGTCTCCCCATTCCCTTCTGCATCCCGTCCATGTGGAAAGCAGAGGTCGTGATGGTTTTCTCTGTCAGCTGTACGACGCTGGAGTGAAGCAAGTTGGCAGAATGGTTCAATAGGCTGAGAGCACCTTCTGGTCAGGTAGCCGATGCATAATTTCGCCCCCCCCCCCGAACAGACCTTGCTGGCTGGCTCACTCGAAGGACTAGATAGGGAAACATACACAATAGGTATGCACATACGTCCATTCAGAATCCGTATGTGTGGCACACTCACATGGCAGCTATGGGGAGCAGCACAACCCTTCCTTCTCCCCCCCCCCCTCCCATAGGTCGGCCATAGAGGAGGATTCGATTAGAATTATGCCTTGCATAAAAGAGTGTCTCTGTAGCGGTCACTCTCACTGGCCGGGCTTGATTCGAATAGTGGACCAAGAGTCAGCCTGTAGGTAGATGCGGACAAGACTACGGAGATAAAGGGGGAAGGAGAAGATATCAAAAGCTTCAACTGCATGGACCTTTTTCCTTGAAAAGTCTCCATGTTCACAAAATAGTATTTCTCCCCCCCTTTCCATTTCAATCAAGCATGAAAGCTCGACAGTAAATGGCCTATTTGTGGGGTTTGTGTAGCTATATAACCAACTAGCTAGCTAATATATAATACAAGTCAAGCAGGTAACTTTATATCAGAGTGGGCAACAAAAATATACAACAGGAAGGATAACAACCAAAAGTCGAAACAACAAAAAAGAATAAAAGAGATGGAAAAAAAAGAAAGCCCCAAAGTACCACGGCACGGGCACAGGGCAAGATATCGGCCACGAAAGAAAAAGAAAAAGAAAAGGGAGGAAATGATGCTTTTTCTCTCCCTTCTCTCTCCCTTCTCGTCTTCTTCCCCACGCTCTGGGCCTCTCTTTTTGACTTTTTTTTTCCAGTCGGTTTTCCCTTTTGGTATGCTATCTCTTCAGCTCAGCCTTTTTGGAAATGCAGCCCCTTCCAGACCTTCCACCTCCCAAAGTGCCCAAAACGCCGGTAGCAAGCAAACAAATGTTGAAAAAAAAAAAAAACGCAGAAATGAAACAAAATATGTGTGGAAGGGAAGAAGAAAAGAGGAAGAAATGTAGAAAATCAATCGGACTGGTCACCGACCATAGTACATGAAATTTTGAATTCCCTACCAACCACCAACCATTAACCCAGTATGTATGAAAAGCAAAGAAAAAGAGAAGAAAGCTGGTAAGAAAAAAAAAAAAATGCCTTAGTTGAGCAATGCTTGGAGACCCATCCGAGAATCACGCGAAGTAGAAGAAGGCTTTTCAAGATCCGAAATTGGGGGTAGCTGATTATGTGGTGCAGATATAGAGTGCTGGTGGTGCCGTAGCGATGATTGTATTGGGTGTGGCTGGTAGAGAAGATTGTCGGTTGAATGGTGTGGTTTAGCGAAAGACGATATCAACGGGGCACTGCCTCGCCGTCTTTCGTCGTAGGAAGATGCAGATGATGAGGAACGATGGTGGCTGTGGTGGATTTCAACCGGGGTAGTGAGTGCAGATGGGGAGGTGACTGTCTTTGGCGAGGCGGAGGCGACCGAGTTGTGGTCCGAGACCATGGATGGAGGGCCACCGAGAGACGGAGCGTGAGAGAGCTCCGAGAATGCAGGCGATGTCATGGCCGAGTCGGTTGATTGGTTTGAGTTGCGCGTGGTGAAGATAGGAGTCAGAAGCCGTCGTCCGGTGGCCGGTGACTGTGGTTGTGAGTTACACTGCTGCCACCTTGCGTTGTTCACGTTATCCTTGGGCAGGTCATATAGCGAAGAGCGGTACTCCAGTGGACGAGGCGAATGAATGCGCGACTGGTGGTAATCCCTCTCGTCCTGCTGATGCTGCTGCTGGGCCTGATAGTCTGAGATTGAAGTCCACGATCGTTGCCTGTCCATGTGAGAAGATTGGCCGTAGATTGCGTGCTCCGAGCGTGGACACCGGTACTGTGCAGGGGGAGACCTGGAAGATGCCTTCTGGTATGGGGGTTCGACCCGCCCGTTTGGTGTCCTTGAGGGAGAAGAGGAAGATGGAGAATGCGAGGCAGCACCGCCGCCGACCGCCATGCCTCTACGCTTTCGGTTCACGCTGCCGTTCCACCAGTTCTTTACGGCGTTGTCACTCCGGTTGCCGAGTCTCCTGGCGATCTCTGCCCACCGCTTGCCCATCTCGCTCACCAGTCGTTCGATTATGAGCCCTTCCTCAGCCGAGATGGGGTCGTGGTTGAGCGTAGGCTTGAGGTTCTGGTGGAATCGTTCTCTGCATTGCTTTGGTGACCGGTACTTCATGTGTTGTGAGATACGGACCCAGTTGTTTGGTCCCTGACTGCTGACCAGCTGCAGTAATGTTTGGTCTTCCTCTGGAACCCATGGTCCTCTTCGCTGGCTTTGGGGCATGGTGAACAGCTTATCCAAGTATGTATGTATGTGTGTATATATATATGTATATGTGTGTGTTTGGTCGTATGTATGTATTTGTCTTTCCCCGCAAAAGGTGTGAGTGTGAACGAGTGACGAGCGATTGACCACCAGCAGTGAAAGAAGGATATCAAGATGATCGACCGTGGATATAGACGGAGTGACCTCTGGTTTATGGATGGACGGGAATTGGAAGAAGGGGGTGTGTGTGTGTGTGTGGAATGTGTTAAAGGGGGATGGAGGGTATATGTAGTGAGTGTGAAAGGAAACCAGGAGTTGGAACGAAGTTGAGCGAGTCAAGAGGGGAGATAAGATAGTCAAGCACCAGCAATTAAGGTCCGCTGAAGCCGGGAATATAAAAAAAAAAAGGTCGAGTATTTAGACTTCAAGCGTCAACGGATCTTGCCTAAATCAAGATTGTGATTAATTTAAAGAGCCGTAAAGAGTTGGAAAAGTCATGAGCAAGTCATGGAAAAAGCAAGAATGGATCGAAGGTAGAGGTAGGAAAAAGGTCATGGAGGAGAAAAAGAAACGAGCCAGAGAGTTTTGAAAAAAAAAGAGAAGAGAATCCGAAAAAAAAAAAAAGGAAGAGAGAGGAAAAAGCAAGTGGGCGGGTAGAGAAGAAGAAGAGATGGAGAGTCAAGGTCTTAAACCCTGGTCTTCCGATGGAGAGTGGATGAAGAGGTGGCTCGTTGAACGGGAGTTGTTAGAGAGGAGGGTTGGCTTGAAGACACACGGGACTCGTTTCATATAGAGCCCATTCATATATAGATATATGTAGATATATATATATGTAAATATGGGCACCGTGAAAGGGGAAAAAAGAAAAGAAAGTGGCCATGCATGAGAACAGGGAAGCATATGCCGGGAGAAGAACGACGAGAGAGAGAAGGCAAGCAAAAGGGAAAAGAAAAGAATAAAAAGCAAGCAAGGAAGCAAAAAAGCAAAAAGGCCTTCAAGAAGTGGGAGAGACGCTTGCAAAAGAAAAATATCCAATCGGGAAAGTAGATCAAAAATGCAAAAAAAGAAGAAGAAGAAGAAGAGTTATGGGGGGAGGGAGAGGGAGGGTATCAAGGCAGGTTTTCTTGGGAGGCATTTTAAGCGTACCTTGACAACTGAGATCTGAGATCGTCAGGTCCGATGGGGGGTTCTCAAAGTACGTCAGGGGTCGGATATGTATCTGAGCATGATCCCGGGGGGTGGTTGAAGGGAAGGGGGGAGGATGTACATATAAAATCTATATAGTGTATAGATATATAATATGTATCTATATATCAGGATGGGATCAGGATGGAGAACGGTTTATGTAAGAGCAGGGATATATTAGGTCCAAAGGAGTCAAAGCGGATGAGGACATGGGTTGGTTTGCTTTGTCAGGAGTTGAAAAAAAAAAGGGGGAGGTTGCATTTTATTTTTCAAAAAAAAGAGGAAGAAGCAGAAGAGAACGGATGCAGAATGGATGGCAATTGACAGGACAGGAATGCAAGAAGCAAGGTAAACGGGTGGTATGGGGAGGGAAACACGAGAAAGGGGAAGAGGCAGCGGAGATATCTCTACCGAAAATACGTACTCATTCCACAGTTCCTGCAGGCTGATCAGCCAAATATCCGAGGGTGTTGCAGCGCAGTCAGGGTCCTGGGGAAGAGAGGCCCAATGCGTGGTTCGGTGGTGTGTAGTAGTATGGTTCTACCACAGCACGATGGCAGATGCAGGTCAAGTCAAGGTCGAAAAGGAAAAGAAAAAAAGAGAGAGAGATGTAAATCTTGCTCGTCTACCAAGGCTGCGTAATACTTTTTGTTTTATACTGTTCCAGTTGACAAGGTCGATAGGAAGGCAAGGCGTTCGAACGAAGCGTGTACATAGGTATGTGTATATCGAGGTCAGTTGAAAAGGGACTCTATGATGTATATAAGAGAGGGAATCATCACTCACGAGCCACTCTCTTCAGAACCGATTTTTGCAGACAATGAGTCGGGTTGCAAAAAAAAAAAAAGAGCGAGGAGAAAAAGAAAGGAAACCTTCCATGATGTATTTAATATGGGTATTCCAGCAGGAAGTGTGGCAGATATTCCAGATCGTGGGGATACACACACAGTACATAGCGTGTATGGTCTCTCCTTCAAGGCCAAGGTGCAGGGACAGTTTTACAAGGAGCTTTTAGGGCTTGGAAACGATCAGCAAGTGGAGAGTTGCTTCGTTGCTTTTTCTTTCTTCTTCTTTTTTGCATTTGCAAAATTCTCCAGATATACACTTACTATGTAAGACCCAGTCCACCAGCCTAGGCTAGCAGGCTGTACATAAGGGTTGCGATGTGGATGTGCTGATGCCGCGAAGGTTCATTCTCACTGCCCCTGCCAGGCCAATCAAGGGCATAGAGACCCAGAAGCGAGGAACGACACAGGAAGGGGAAAAAAGAAAGAAGGAAAAAAAAAAAAAAAAGAAAATAACAGAGGAGACAAGAATATGGAGAGAAAAAGATAGAAGGGAGAAGAGGGAGTTCGGGCCCATCCCGGTCTTAACTCTTTTTTCTTCCTGCTCGATCCCAGCCAGGGAAACGCAAGGGAAGATACAAAGGTCAAGGTCCTTGGAAAGTTGTCAGTTAACCTGTTAATTCCAGCGAAAAAGGGTGAGAAGCAGAAGCAGAGGCCCAGCAGGTAATGATACTTAAACTAGCACGCCAGAAGAAAACAACACCTTGGTACATACACATAACATACCAGGGGTTCAGCCCAAAACCATCCCCCTGGACCACGCCGTGGTTGATGGGAAGGGGATGCAAGGGAGGGCGGTTGTGTTGCACGAATATGAACACTTATTGTATATATAGCTCCGTAACTCAGGATTATTTGTGTGTATACCAGAAGGACGCCGACCCTATTCTTGGAAGTCAAGGGCCACTTTTCCTTATACGCCGTATATACATAGTAGCATGTGTGTTGATGTGATGAGACGGCCAACAGGTTGATCGGGAGCCTCGCCTTCACATGTCTCCCTGCTGGGACAAATAAGCATGAGGAGGACATCGTCGAACAAGTACCGAGAAAAAAAAATAAGGAAAAGAAAAAAGGAAGAAGAAAAAAAGAAAAGAAGCTCTCAAGTCAACGGCTTCAACTCTATCGGGCTCGGAGCATCTCCTTGATGTCCAAAGGGTTTCTCGACCCAGCCTTAACCCTTTTCTGGTGAGCTAGCTCGCTCTATATACAGCATGTTTACATAGTAAATCGAAACTCATAACTATACTACACGTACGGAGTATAAAGATCAAAGAAGGATAACGATTACGCTCTGGCCCAGCCCGATGTAACGTCTTTTTTTTCCCATATGCCCTTCTTTCGCTCATGAGTTAGCGTTTCATCCCGGGGCAAGGCAGAGACAGACAGACGCAGGACCAGCCTTCACAGTCGCAGCCATGCCTCTCAGCTTAACCGCTCGATGCCCTTGCTGAATGAGTAATAAGCAGTGATCGACCGATTGTTTCAACCTTCGGTGGCCTCCGTCAGAAGGAGAAGAGCCAGCCAGAACCATACCGTTGTTATATCCCGTTTTCAGATGGACCAACCTAGTATTGTAGAACTTCTCCAATGGACCTACTTCCCCATCTGGGCAAAGGCTAGCAGGCTCATCTTCACATCCTCGCGAGGGAGTCGAATATCATATGTGTCTATGTAACGAAAAAGCAAAGGAAAAGCCTGGAAAGGCGTTGAGCATCATCCATCCCTCCCCCCTTTCGACGAACGTTTATCCCACGATGGCGCGCCATGCACATATTTTTTTTTCTTTTTTGTTTTTTACAGTTCCATAGCCTAGACGGGATCGCTTTCGATCGATACACATCTCTCTTTCTCGCGCGCGCGCGGTCTAGGGGGCGCATATCTTTTGCCTTGTTGATGCTGCCTTCCGGACATACCCTGTCAATGTAGCTGATGCCATTAGTTAGACAAAGGACGAGAGTGAAGGGAACGATAGAGAAGGGAAAGAAAAGAAAGAAAAAGAAACGACCAGATCTCTGGTCCTCGAAAAAGGAATTCAGTCATCCGCTTCTAAATATTTTACAAAAATACAAAAGGGCGTGAACGAAATATTCTATGCATGCTTACCTTACTACTACTGCAAGGGAAGTACCAGAAGGAGAGCCGGTAAGGGGGGAGGGGAAGCCGTTAAACTCCCTCCACTTCGAATAAGGTACATGGCGGTCCGTCTCTTCTCTGCATTTACCATTTACCACCTTCCTCTTCCTACCTGGGTAAAAAAAAAGGGGGGGGAGGCAAAAAATGCGTTACAAGCGAAGCTGGGCACGAATTGAACATGATACCAAAGAGAGTGTGTGAGATCTTGATATAATCGTTGCCGAGGGGCGTCAGGCAGAACGCTCTAGTGGAGATCAACGATACGAGGCAGAGAGGGAGAGCGTAAGAAAGAAAAAAAAAAAAGACCGCAGATGAATTTGATAAAATTCTCCGAAGAAAAAGCATTCACTCGGTTCCTTCATCGTTGTTACATCCCAGGGTTCACAAGGGCGCTATTGACCATACATCAAGTTGCATTACTCAGGTATTATACAATCTTTCTGCATTTGCACCGTCAGCCTTCATACCACGTATGAACTGGTAACCGATGGACGCCTCCTTTTACGCCATATAAGCGAAAGGGGCGGGAGTTTGAAGCATGAGAAGATCAACCTTGACTCTCATACACCCTAACAACCCCCCCTCGCACGCGCGAATATGGCGCTGGCGCTGGCTCTGGCGCTGGTCGTCGCATGCGTAGGGTGAGCAGAGCGAGCGAAAGAGAGACGGGAGCCCAGTCTGAATCAAATAGTTTCAAATTTTCTTTCATCGGACATCCCGACGGATAGGGTTTTCGTTCTTTTCTTTTTTATTGTTATTATTTGATATTTTATATTGCTTTTTGGTCATCTCGATGTTGGCTCTGGAAAGGCCTTGTGGCGCTTCCAACGCCCATTCATACGCCATCATCCA